TAACATATGTCCTATGTCTGGGCTTCTTGCAATATTCACAAATTACATCATCAGACCTCTCAATGATTATAGACTTATTATTGCTTTTCCTGGGCTTAGAGGACATGAAAGCTGAATGTTCGACCATGGGAGATGTCATCATGGCTGCCTCCTACTCTCCTCACCCTACACTTGGGAGTAAGTAGCAACAAGAGAAACAATGTTTGCACTCAGGATATGTTGTCGAGTAAAGTCAAATTCAGAGTTTAACCCTGCCAAAAAATCAAAAACCCTGTTATTCTCAACATATTTCCTGTATCGCTCCCCATCTTCTAGATCTTTTCATTCTAAGTCCTTCAAATGATCCATTTCTTCCTACAAGGACTGTAAGGAGGAGAAATACATAGCTATAGTCCTCTCCCCCTGACACAAACTGCAGGCTTCCCTACAAAGCTAAGAAATCTAAGTAGTGTTTTTGGCTTGAGAAATGGTAGTCGTGACCCTATGATCCTATCCCAAATATCCTTAGCAGTGGATAAGAAACCAGCCATGACATTACCATGAGGTTGTCTTGCTACCATTTAGCAAACTTTGGGTCTTCTAATTTAGGCTTGATTTCCTTTCTGGTGATAAAACCCAACTTACCTCTTCGGCTCTTCCTCCAATGGTGAGCTTAGCATATTGGTACCATTCCAGGAAGTTGGTTCCATCAAGTTTCATAGTGGTTATCATGCCACTAGAGGTATTGATGGTTCCTGGAAGCACTCCGGGAACCGAGTGAACATCCTTAGAAGCTTCCATTCCTTAACTATGAATAATTTTAAAAGTCACAAAGAGTTCCTATGCACCACCGGCACACAATGACACAACAAGACCAAAGAAGAGCCAACGTACGACTAAGAAGCAACAACAGCCCCAAGAATAGCCTAGGAGCAAAATATAGGAAGAAGAAAAAACCCCAAAAAATTCCTAGGCTTCAGAAAATTATGGGACCACTTCCCGTTTTCCTAGAAATATAAAACAAGCCAAATAAAATTGGTTTTAAGGAGAAACAGCCTCAAACTTGAATCTGAGTTATCTGAATTTCTTTTTGGAAAAATCATAACAAATCACAGAGGTTTTGCACAGAGGTGAAACCTATACCAAAAAACCCCTAAATTTAGGGCAATTTGAACCATACCAATTTCAAGAATGGTTGCCATCGCTTGTACAGGCTGCTGACATCATCTGGCGGCRGTCTGATGTCAGCAGGTTGCCTCTAGGGTAACGGACACCAGCAGAAGCCTACCTTGAATCCAGATGAGCTCTGATACCAAGTTGTTTAAGGTGAAGCCTAAAAACAAAGGAAGAAGAAGGGAAAGGAGAAGAAGAGAAATGTTACGAAGGTGTGTCTCGAGTTACTGTTCACATCAGAGACTAAAAAATTATAATGTTGTTGAAAGTACAAGTTTGCCCTTACTTGGGTGCCCAAAACAAAGAGGAAATAAAAAAACCAAAAAAGCCCTTTCATCATATTGCATATTCTCAACAGTGGCCAAGGGTGGAGGCTTTTAAAAGTAGGGGGCATTCAGCTAGTAGGAAGATTCATTTTATGTCTAAGGGAGGATGAAGATGTTCTTTACCTTTGCTATGGTTGCTGCCATGCGAAGATTATTTGGGGTTACTTCTCCGTGTTTAAAAGAGATATGTGGGATCTAAAGTCACTGAGGTTTTTGCTCAATTGGTCAATCCTAAATGGAAGTAGGAAGGTGAAGATAGTTTGTTGCATCATTCCATTTGTGGGTTGCTTGAGTTATGGAAGGAGAGAAATTGAAGAATCTTTGAAGACGGACACAAATTTCATGATCATCTTGCATCATTGGGAAAAGAATTTTGGATTGGTCAGGGTTCTGGTTTTTTGTTAGTGTTGGTGTTGGGTTTGGATTGTGTGTGTGGGGGAGGGGGGGTGATAATTGATGTACTTCTCATTGCTGTAATTTCAGTTTTGCTTTGTTTTTGGGTGATTTTTCATCACCACTCTCTTCTAATCCTTTCATTTTAATAAAATTTTCCTTTTTATTTATTCTTTGTAGTTTTAAGTTTTGCTAAGATATTTGGAAAATCCAAAAAATCAGGAAAGTTTTCTAGAAACATGGAATTAGTTAATTAACCTCCAAGGAATCATTAGAAGAAGTATAATTGCACATTTAAGGCTAAAAAACCCATAGCAAAGAATTTCATAAACCAAATGGGAGAAAATTAAGATACTTTAATAGATATCCTTCTCTTTGTCTCCCTTTAGTTCTATAGCCATCATTAAATATGCCATTTGCAATTTTTTTTGAGCAGCAACACAAAAACCATATTCATTCATTAAAACATTAAGAGAAAAGGATTACAACAAGAAGTTGTGAGAAACTTGCAAACCCATTACAAAAAAAGCCACTCAACACTATATTACAATTGGGCCTAGTACATTTGTTGTCTTTGAACCCCTTGCTCAGCTAAACCATATGCCAAGCTGTCAGCAGATCTTCTAACCCAACTTATTTTAACATTCATGTCTTTTGACAGCCATTTGAAACACCTGAATTCATTTCTAAGCTGCCAAGTCACCCCCTCATCTTTCATCAACTATCCCACTACTATCTTCGAATCACCTTCAATGATCAAATTACTAATTCCCATCTCTTCAGCTTTTTCAACCCCCAAAACTGTAGCTAATTGGAAACTCTGATGTTTCTCCCACATACATGTCTTTAATTAGGTTCACATATCTATTTGATACCTTTTCTTTCCAAAAGCCACCATATTACCTTTCCAGAGGCCTTATCATACGCCTTCCTCAAATTAATGAATGCACATGAAGACCTCTCCTATTTTTCCCTCAACTTTTTTTATCAATCTTCTCAATTGAAAGCTAGCTTCCATGGTTGACCTCCCTATCATAAAACCAAATTGGTTACCTTATCTACTTGTTTCATGTTTCAATTTTCTATTAATCACTCTCTTAAACTTTAACTAGTGTGGTTCTTGACTTCAGTTTCATGATAATCATTGCAACTTATTTTTGACAAGTTACAGTAAATTTCATTAATTATAAACAGTAATTATAATTATGTACATGTTTGGGCACCATGGTGCTTTTTCCCCATTTGCCTTGTAGATTTTTCCTTTCATTATCTTATTAAATACTTTAGTTAGTCATAAGTGGTCTATTTTATCATGTCAACCTTTCCCAAGACCCTAGATAGTTGGGACCAAAATTGGTATTTGGTAATGGTCTTTTTATCTATTATTTCTACTTATATTAGAGTTATCAATCCCTCCTTCCTTTGCACCCTGTATATGTCAGTAATTTTTTCCTAAAATATTTTTCCTTAATTTTCTCATTCTTTATCAAGGCTCTTTGATCTTCCTCTTTGATGCATCTAACATGATTTAAATCTCTATTTTTTTTTAATTTTTCTCATCTTTGCAAGTCTATAAATTCCATTTTTCTTCTTCTTTAGTGCTTATGGTAACACTTCTAGTATACTTAAAATTAAACTTTCTTTTTAGCTTCTTTTTTCTGCATTTTATATTTTTGAGTTTCCATATTTTTAGTCATTTTCCAATATTTATAAATTTCTCTTTTTTCTCTTATTGTGTTTGGAACCACTTCATTCCACCATTAAATTTCTTTAGCACATTGCCATTTCTCTTTGTATTTTCCTAAATTTCTTATGCTATTTTTTATACAACTAATCTTTTCATGAAAATTCTATTTTCCTTCTACCATCAGTTTGTCATTTACATTTTATTAGTTTCTTCCTTTAGATTCAACCACCTAATTCTTAATCACCTATGTTCTTCTCCCTTTCTATTTTTGTCTTTCAATGTGAACATCTACCACCATTAATCTATATTGTGTGGTTAATCTTTCCCTCGGAGTAACTTTACAATCCTTATATATCATTGTTTTGTTCTAGTAAGGAAAAAAAATCTACTTTAAATTGAGTTTGATTTACTTTTAAACATTATAAAATATTCATTCTTTTTAAAGTATATGTTTACTATTTCTAGATCACAAGCTATTGCAAATGCTGTATCTCTAGTCATTTCTCTCCCCAAACCAAAACACTCCATGCACCCTATCATACCTTGCACTTCTCCCTACTTTATATTTCAATCTCGTCCTATAAAAGTATCTTTCCTTTTATTTTTTTCTGAATTAGTCCATTTATTTTTCCCAAAGTTGTTCGTTGGTATTTTCTTCTAAACTCATCTTAGGTGCATAAACACTAATTATGTTAATGATTTCATCACCCAAAGAAAGTTTAGTTAAAATTATTCTATCCTCAATTTTCGTAACATTTACAACTTTTTTTTTAATCTTTTTCCGCTATTATCACCACTCTATACCTATTACTTATGTTTATCGTGGTTTATAGCTATTAATTTCTTCAGTTTTCTCTCCTTTACATTAGTCTATTGTAAGCATGCTACAATCTTTCTCATTTTCATTGTGTTCAGAATTACATAGTCTTGCTAGTCAATGTTCCTACACTCTAAGTGGTTGATTAAATTCTAATCACTTGGACTAACTTCCCTACTGTCCTGTCAAAAAGATGTGGGAACCTTTGCCCATTTCACACCACAATCAGGTGGTGTTGTGGTATGTTTCTTTCACGGGATTCCTTGCCTCACAGGTTAAGGTGTAACATATCACTGTTGAGGAACACTCGACATGAGCACACAATGACAGTTTTCTCCCTTCGTTTCAAAATTTCTTTGTAAATGGCTATATTTTGCTTTGCTGGTTTCATATATAATTACAGTTAATATGTTCCATGTGCTTGCAAAATGGTTTATAGGCCTGCTTTCATTTTTCGTGACAATCATAAAATCCAGGGTTACGGTTTTAATATTTTTATGTTCATGCATCTTTTCATTGGATGATTAAAAACTGTGTTCCTTTTACCAATTTTTCTTCTTTGAACTTGATGCCTAGAATTTGAATTACTCAATTTGACATTAGCTTCCTCGCTTGAGGCATCCAGAGGCAGCTGTTCCATTATCTTGGGCAACAAGAATGATGATCGCATTTGGAGCTGCCAAAGGGCTTGCTTTCCTTCACAATGCAGAAAGGCCTGTTATCTACCGGGACTTCAAGACCTCAAATATACTATTGGACTCTGTTAGTGGTGTTTCTTGGAACTCAAAACCCAACAAAACTCTTCTCATGGCCAGCTTTTTCTTATGCATGGTTATGTTCATGTTGATTTCATTTCATGTGTTATTTGTGGAACTGCAGGATTACACAGCCAAGCTTTCTGATTTTGGGCTTGCAAAAGCCGGGCCACAAGGTGACGAAACCCATGTATCAACTCGTGTGATGGGTACCTATGGTTATGCTGCACCCGAATATGTAATGACTGGTATGGCTTGAAATTGTTTAGTTGTCCACACCAACCCCCCCACCACCCCACCCAACTTCTAAAAACAAATTGCATGTCTTTGTATTTGTAATTCTCTTGCGATTTGTTTATTCATTTGCTGTCTTCCGTACTGGGTCATGCTATCCTTTCTGATTCATTTTCCTTTATGTACTGCCAGGTCACCTGACTGCAAGGAGTGATGTTTACAGCTTTGGGGTTGTCCTTCTTGAGCTATTGACAGGAAGGCGGTCTGTGGACAAGACACGTCCTAGCAAGGAACAGAGCTTAGTAGACTGGGCCCGTCCCAAACTAAATGACAAGAGAAAATTGCTGCAGATTATCGATCCTAGATTGGAGAATCAGTACTCGGTAAGGGCTGCGCAGAAAGCTTGCAGCTTGGCATACTATTGCCTGAGCCAGAATCCTAAAGCAAGGCCTCTCATGAGCGACGTCGTTGAGACGTTGGAGCCACTGCAAAGCAGTGATTTAAGTGAATTCTCAACTCAGGGTCTGGCAAGCATGGGTCTCCAAGACCACCAGATCCACCGTAGGTTTGCTGGTAATGTGGTAGCTTGTAGGTCCCCCAACCCTAATTATTCTCCAGGTGGCCCTGCAGCATGCAGGGTTAGATGAGTAATGAGTAGATTCTGATTTCTGAGAACCTTATATTCGTATATGTTAAGTGTGCTTGTTGTCCCTTACAACAAGGTATTGAGATGTGTATTTAGGCATGACTATGTTCTTGATACTGCATTTTGATGTTTCATACTTTATGTACATGTTGACTACAAATCTATTATTAACTCATTGTCTAGATGCCTTGGTCCTGTTGGTACCTGAATCAGGGGGGAGAAAAGAAGGGTGGGGAGTTGTTACAGTTGTGTGTGTACTGTTCATATCATGCTCACCGGGGTCATGGTAGTGGTTTCACACTATCACCAGAACGTAGTTCAGTGATTTAAAAGGTGCCTGAGGTGCGCCCAGGCGCATAGGCGAGGTGTATTTTGGGGTATGTGCCTCGCTCAGGTCCTAGGTGCACTCCTTTCAAAAGGCGTGTACCTGGTGTGTAGGTGTGCATCATTTTGAAATTTTGCACTTTTTGTTTTTCTTTTGAGTCTAACGGCTTGTCCGGTTTGAGGCAAGCCCAAACAAGTCTATGTTAGGGTTTGAAATTCTTATTTCTCACACCCCTTGAGGCAATCTTTTATTTGCTAATGTTGTTCATTCTTTCATTGCAATAAGAAATGTTCATTCTTTCACGCCCCTTGGTACAAAGGTGACTCAGAATAAAAAATGCAATATGTTTTACATCACATTAACTACTTGAAGTGATGCAATTAAGGAAAAAAAAGAGATTCTGGGTTTTTCATGCTTGAAAATGTTTTATATGTTTGTTTATATTTTTAAATTTTTATTTGAATACACTTTATTTTATGTATTTTGATTTTAGATAATAGGTTTTTTAAGTCATTTATTTTAAAATTTAAGTTTATATTTTTATTAACAGTATGTTTAATGTTTTTTTTGAATTTTTAAAAAGTTTTTGGTATTTTTCTGAATTTTTTGATTTTTTTTATGATTTTTTAGCTTTTTTTTTATTTTTTATTTTATTTTTTTATTTTTGCGCTTTTCTTGCACGCCTCACTTTGCGCCTTGTAGTTTAGCAATTGACAGAAAATAGCTCATTAAGGTTCTCTGTACATGTGATGATCAGGGGTAATATCAGGTTCTCTGTACATATGAATGGTAATGCATAGAATAATGTTTAGTGTCTTTACAGGTAGAAATAGATGATTTATAAATTCTGTCTACAGCACATGCAAAATCAACAGTCCTATTTAAGATCTTCAGTGACTAAAGCTCCACCCATGGTCCAATACTATTTTGCTATCATCACAGATGAGCGGGAGCCACTTTGAGGCAATCACTCTGGTGGTTTGGTTGGCACGTAAACTGGGTAGTTTCAGGTAAGATGCCGCTTCAAGCCCTTTGAGAAGAGTTATTAATATTGCTAGAAAAAGTATTATACTGTACCAAGGAAAATTGAAATACAGCCCTATAAGGGAAAAACACAAGTTCTGGTAATGGTAAATGTAGGAAAAACTCAAAAGGCATGATACTGGAAGTTCTTTCATGCACTTAGATTGGCACTTTTATGATCCGGTTGATTGGTTACAACTTAATGTATTTCGGTATCATAGTGGAATTATTTATAATTCAACTGACATGGGAGAACCATTGATACACCTATGAATAGCAATCTAGAATTATATTTATAATTGATGGTTCTTTTTAATATAAAGCAACAGCACGCAACTGAGCTAACAATTGAGTGAAAGGGTTATTATCTTTAGGGGTGCTCATGGGCCTTTTTTTTTTGGACCAAACCGGTAATCGGAACCGAATCGGAATTAGTCGGTTAATCGACGGTTCGGTTCGTTGATTTTTTGGTTTTGTTGACTTTATAATATTTATTATAAAAAATATGTATATTTATATAATAAAAATTATAAATATATAAAATATTATATTTTAAATAATAAATAATAAATAATATATTATAAATATATATGTATTTATATATATAATGCGTATTTATTAATTTATAATATATAAAATACATATAATATATATAATATACATAAATATATAAAAAATATATACAAAAACATGTATACCGATCGGTTCAGTTAACCACCGGTTTTTTAAATTGGTTAACCGAAACCGAACTGATACCTTCGATTTTTTAAAATCACTAAATCAGGTCGGTTTGGTTAACCGATTTTTCGGTTCAGTTTTGATCAGTTTGGTGTTTTGGTTCATAGCAATATTTTCTCATTCTACCTATTTTTATCCATTTTTATTTATTTTAGAATTTTATCTTGGATAAGAATGAACAAAAATAAGAATTTAATAAAAAATGGCCTAATATAATGAAATAAAGAATTATAAGACAAAATTATATAATGAAAAAGCACTAATGACATGCAACTTGTCATTGATACAATAGAGTAGTAGTGGAAACGGATTGAACTCTGTTGTGGTAATAACTAAAAAAAGGGAAGAAGATGGTGGGAAGTGGCAAATTCCTATCATCGGTCGTCCTTCCCCAAATGTGTTATGTGTATGAAAAGGTGTTTTCAAAACTTTGGAGACATGACATGAGAAGTTTAAGTTTAAATTTAGATAAGATAATGTGGGGTGTTGCCAAATATAAAAAGGGCAGGGTAGCTAATATCATAGGTCATCGCTATTATGATTTATGAGAATGGATTGGATAAAATTGTCTTTTAATTTATTTTTAGGCAACCAAATTGTCTTTGAACATAGCTAATTAATTAATTAATTAATTGCCTAGTGCTGTTTGTGATAATAAGATAATTAGATGGTTTGTTAATTTTGTGAAAACTATAATACCATTAATACTAGTTAAGTTAGTACGTAACTGGCTGCAAATGCAATAATAATATAATAGTGACCCTCCTTGCTGGCTTCCCATCATCCCATTCCCACCACTCCCACCACTAAAAACTAAACACTAAACACCTCTTCTTCTCTTTATCTTCCACCTTCCACCACACAAAATATATTCGTCCGGATCTTTCTCTCCCTAGGCCCTCTCCCTTTCTCTCTCTCTCTCTCTCTCTCTCGTCTTTCGACTGTCTCTGGCTCTATCCCTTATCATCACAACTATCACCACCTTGCCCTGGCCATGGAAAATTTCATCATCACAAATCAAGGTCGTTTAACAACAAGATTAACAGTAGCCCTCTGCCTCATCATCCAACTGATCATTTGCGATCAAGGTAAGCTCGCAATCAAATTAATTGGATTGATTTTCTTCTATCTTTAATTAATTTCATCTTACCTTTACCTTATAATTAACAAGGTCATACTCATGGATGGTGTTGCTGTAGGTCGGTCTTATAACAGTAGTAGGGTTGATGGAGGAGGAGGAGGAGAAGGATTAATACCAGTGGAAGTGGCGGAATATCGGGTGCTAACGGAATTGGTGGAAGGAAAGAGTGGAGAGGAGGGAAGGAGTAGGAGGAGACAACTGGCACCATTCCAGCTATGCTTATTATGCAAGTGCTGCACGGCGTCGGCGGGTGGGGGGGATCCCAGCACCTGTCTCAGCATGCCTTGTTGTTTTGGAATCGATTGCCAGCTCCCAGACAAACCATATGGGGTATGTGCTTTTGTACCCAAGACATGCAATTGTACCTCTTGTGCTACATCATGACCCACCGTCACCCTTCATTCCTCATCTCTGACTCTCAGCTGTTCCCCCTCGTCCCCCCTTCATTTCTTCCCCACCCATTCACCAAATGCAAACCTCATCCTTTCCTCACAACCCCCATTTATTTGCACCACTACTTAATTTTGCCTCAAGCTAAGATCGATCGATATGCCATGAGCCCATGAGCCCATCGCCATGAGTTGAAAGATGAATGATGCGTCTTTTGATTTGTTATATATTTGTATGCTAGGCAGCTATACTGTATTTGAGTAAAATGAGATTTGATTGGAAGATCCTTGGTTCTGCTCTACATCTGCTTGCTGTATAATAGTGGTCTACTACACATAGCTTATTGGATTCCCCGCTGTCTTACACTTCTTTTCTTGATAATTCTTATCGCGCGTGGATGTATGTCTATATATGTCAAGATAAGGATGAGGATGTGGATGTGGATGTGGATGTACACTTCTTTTTCATTTTAAACAGATAAAAAATATATTATATATAAATCTTACTTTTTCTTTCCTCAACACACAGACACCATAGCTGTATATTGAGAACATCAACATGCAAGTAGGATGGAGATTGTGTAGTGGGCTGTGAGTAGCATATGGGGAGCTTGTTGGGTGAAAGACCCAGACTCTAATTACAGCCCCACTCATAAATGGAGAAAGCTTTCCTTTCTCGTGTCATTTGGAGAAATGATATTCATATACTCCAGGGAAAGTGCTGCCATTAATATTATTTGTAATTTCAAAACCTATAATCATTTCGGGTAGAGATTTCCATACCCCGCTCCATTCTATCCATTTTAATTTAATTCCAGATTCCCACACCATGATAATATTTTATCATTTACTTTTATTTTTATATATTTTATTACATACCTGAGTACGTAGAAACAAAGGTTGTTCCACCGTTGATCTTCGTCTTCTTACACCTCGGACCCTATTGTTCTCACTAACACCCTCTTTGGTGGAGAGAGAGAGACCTAGGAGAGTCATGACTTCAGTTTTTCATTTATATTAATAGATTAATGGTTTATATTTGCCTCTCTATCCATGTTTTTTGATTGTAACTTCTCCTCCTAAATCGGAGTTGGTCCTTACAAAATTGTATTCACACTGTCCTTAGTATGGAAATATTCCCAATGTATTACTCAAAGGCTGTGAATATAATTTTGTAAGGAGTATTAAAGCCGTCCTTTTCCTCCCCCATTAAAAATAAATAAATGAAGAACAAATCTCTTAAAGTACTTTTATGGTTTAGGAAATTGATTAATTTTATTCCTATTTATATGTCTTTGAAAGTATCCTTAAGTTTTCTGACAATTATTTAAAATTTCTATTATCATTAAGTTTTAGTCGCATGAAATCACCTAATTCATAATTTTTAAAAATTCCTAAAATACTTTTCTCTGACAATCTTCCTAAAAATTCCTAAAATACTCCCTTTTTCTTTTTCTCCTTTGGTTTCAATTTCCTTTATCACTACCAAACCGACTATGACCTGAAACGCTGTGTCCCAATCCGTCACTTTCATTGCCAACTTCCATAGAACCATCAATTTGCAAATTCCTGAAACATAAAACAAAGGGATTTTAACCATTCAGTCCAACCTAGGATTTCTAGGGGTGGACTGAATCCTGCCCATAGTTTGATGTCAAATTTCATAAGTAAGATGCGATTTATAGGGGAGGGGGAAATTCAAAAATCCCTAAAACAAAAAAGAAAAGAAAAGAAAATATATGACAACTTCTTAAGAGCGGTGTGTCAGATCATGTTGGAATTAATGTAAATTCCAAGAAAGGCTTCCCCATCTATGCTTATAAGTTATAATCGGGACCACCTCCAAAGTTGATGGGACACTGGAGCGATTCGAGCTTATGCGAGTAATTCTTCTACTTACCAGCCTAAAGAAAGAATCAAAAAGCATGGTCAGGCTTTTCCCTAAGCTGATCAGTATACCTTAGGACAAGCTGCAAAGTTGGGCGATAACTTGAATAAAAACTTCTGGCAATCAATATTCATCTACTCTATGTTCGAAGAACCATCGAGTAAAGAAACAATACGACTGATCCAAGGCGAAGGCTCCATATTCTTAATGTTTATGATGAGATTAGAAACATCAATTAAGGGTTCTATCCATTCACGAAGTGGAACTGTGGAAGGGAGGTGTTAGGATTAGGAGTCCGTTCAGTATTATCTTGTTTGTATATATCTTTTTATCTTTTCCTTATCATGAATAGTTCAGATAGGATAGGAAAGATATGTTTGAGTTCCTGTAAACTTTGGAGTTTTAGTTGCCATAAGCTTAGGAGGTTCGGTGGTTGTATTCATGTGTATATATTCTTGAATTCTCAATGAATAAAACATAGAGAAAAAGAATAAACCAGAAAAGCTCTGGTTTTACATGGTATCAGAGCCAGAGATTTGCATTCCAAGACCTCTGGAGATTAGTGGCGGCAACAACGATTGTTCGGCGCCGGCAAAGGACAAGCTTTGCACTCTAAATTCAGTTCGGCACTCTTCCTTCTTATTTGCTTCTTCTTCAAGCTCGAAAGCAGAGACGGGGAACGAACGAGAGATTCCGGCCGGCGTTTTGAACGAGATCTTACTGGAAGCGGGGTCGTCGACGTAGATATCCGACAGGGTGACCCAAATCAAGGGCTCCTTACTCTTGACCCCGGTCAGCTTCTTCATCTAGTGGTTCTCCACGAAGGCGGTGATCTCATTCGCGTACGAGACCTGCTTCCCGATGCGCTTGAAGGTGTGCTGCGTTCCTTTCCTCTACTTCAGCCAAACGAACCCGGTTTCCCTGTTGTAGCCCACCTCCTTCATGCCGTCCAGCGGCAACAAACCCTTGGGCAGCGATATCTCCTCCAGAAGCTGCAACGATTTCTCCTTGCAGAGAGTGTCTCCATGGTAGATCTCCGCCTTCTCTCTGTAATTCTCAATCGCTTGACTCGCCATTGCTGCTGTCTGAGCTGGTCGCTAAGGCTTAGTTGGGGGAAGGCAAAAATAGAATTGACTGAAGAAGAAGAAAGCAAGAAAGGAATACGGGTCTGAGCCTGAGCCCTCGGTCTCCTTCTACAAAAGTTCCGACCTTCGACTTCGGTCTTCTCTTGGACGGTTCTTCTTGCGCGAGTAACAGAGAACTCGAAGGTCCGTTCTTGAACGTACTGATTTTTGACAAGTCTTCGGTGAGTTAACGTTCTGCGGCAGGTTTTGGGGAGATCCTGAGATCGGTGCTTTGTCTCTTGTGGCACCGATCGTGGGCTTTCAGACACAATAGTCAGCATGACTAAAAACAGAGAAAAAGGAGCAGGGGCAGGAGGAAAAGGTCGTGACGGCCAAGTCAAGGCCAATACAGCCAAAACCTCTGTGCAAGGCAATGCGTCTCAAGGAGAATCAATTGATGCAGCCAAGACTGGGTTAAATGGACTGAGTAGCAAGCAGTGGAACATGTTACTCAACCTTTTGAACACACAGAAAGAGAGGAGTCAATGACTAAGTGGTAAGCAAAATTGTCAGAATGGATAATAGACACAGGGGCCTCTCATCATATGACAGGAAGCCTCGAGTCAATGAGAGACATAAAGAAGGTCATTCCGTACTCTGTCGGGCTACCAGACGGGAAAGCAACAATGTAGAGAAAGAAGGCACAGTTGCATTGGACGATCATTTGAAACTGACTAGTGTTCTATATGTTCCTAGTTTGAATTGCAATTTACTTTCTGTATTGCAATTGATTGGGGAATTGAATTGTATTGTCCAGTTCACTAATAAATTCTGTGTGATACAGGACCGCACTACGAGGATGCTGATTGGAGCGGGTGAGCAGCGAGATGGACACTATTATTTCTGAAGCATTGCATCAACAAGAGCAATGAAGACTACAGAGAGCAGGACGTGTGATATTTGGCATCAAATGGTTGTGATGCATGCTTCCGAGCTAAACAATGTCAAGAAGAGTTTGTTTCTAGTAATAATAAAGCATCCGATATTTTTGAATTAATTCATTGTGATTTGTGGGGTCCTTATAACTGCAGCTTCTTGTGGTGCTCATTATTTCTTGACCATAGTAGATGATTTTTTTAGAGGCGTTTGGATTTATCTTCTGGTTGATAAGACGGAAGTGGGACGAGTTCTTCGAAATTTTTTTGCTATGGTTCAAAGGCAATTTAACAAACCTGTAAAGGTGATCCGTACTGATAATGGGACTGGGTTTGTATGCTTGGCAAGTTATTTTGCTGAAAGTGGTATTATTCATCAAACCACTTGTGTCGGGACCTCTCAACAAAACGAGAGGGTTGAATGCAAGCACTGCCACATACTCAATGTTGCCCGAGATTTGCGCTTTCAAGCCAGCTTGCCTATTTATTTTTGGGGGGAATGTGTCCTGACCGCATGTTATTTGATCAATCGGACACCGTCCATTCTGTTGAAGGGAAAGACTCCCTATGAAATGTTATTTGGGCGACCTCCTTATGATAATATGCGAGCTTTTGGTTGCTTAGCATCTGTGCACAATCATGGACATGGAGGGGATAAATTTGTCAGTCGAAGCAGACAATGTGCTTTTCTTGGGTATCCTTTTGGAAAGAAAGGATGGAGCTTGTATGATTTAGAGTCCGACATGTTCTTTGCATCAAGAGATGTTACTTTTTTAGAGCATGAATTCCTGTATGCACACAAGGAAGATGCACAGCCGAACAAAGCACAAGGCCAGTTTAATTGTGGAATAGGTGGGACAAATGAGGTGTTGGTACCATCCATTTATTTACCTAGACTAGAAAATGGCGAGATGGAGGCTAACCAGCGAGATGAACTCGCTGAAGGAGTCCGTGTAGAAGAAGGAACCCGCGTAGACCCAAATGCAAATGCTGGTGAACCCATGCATTCTTGTGACGCCACTACAGAAAATGCAAGCGAAGACGATCCAGATGTCAGGGGGTGGCGATGTTGAGCAACAACAACTCTCTAAATTTCAACAGTAGCACTCTGAATTTCATTTGGGGCGTGGGCATCAACAGATAAAACAGTCCACAAGGTTGAGAGATTATGTGCTTCACACCACACAATGCTTGAGTTCCTCTCCGCGTCCCTTTGCAAGCTCACCCGGCCAATCACATTCTGTAGGTAGTCCTTATCCCATAGATAACTATGTGAACTGTAACAATTTTTCTTGTCGACATCGTGCTTTCTTGGTAGCTATTATTGCAAGAATTAAACCTACTTATTTTGCTGAGGCCGTAAATGATGAAAAATGGAGGGATGCAATGCAGAAAGAAATACAGGCACTTGAAAATAATCAAACATGGACTGTGGAGCCTTTGCTATCCGGAAAACAAGCCATAGGATGCAAATGGCTG